ACAGAGGCCAGTTGGAGAAGGGTACCAGAAACTAGAGAAAAGGTTAATTCGAGAAGAATTAATTTAGAAGGTAACACACATGTACAGGAAAGCAATGCAAGTCAACTCCCTGTATAGCTATCCTTATCTCAACTAGAAAAAACCCTTGGTCCTTCCTATTATTGCTTATACTCTCTCTTCAACAAAATCAGAGATGAGGGCAAAATAGTTTCTGCCTGGTAGTGAGAGGGGTTAGGGGGGAGAGGGAGAGGGTGGGAGGGGAAGGGAGGGGGCAGGGGAAGGGGGAAGAAATGACCCAGACATTGTATGCACATATGAATAAAAAAAAAAAGTCCCCATCCATCCCTGGTTCCAGCCCTGAGCCACTGCCCACACATGGGTATTTCCAGAAACCAGGACAGCTAGGCCTGATTATTCAGCATCAGGGAAGGAGGGAGGAGGAGGAGAAGGAAGAGACAGCAGCCAAAAAAAGCTGGAGACAGAGTGGAGGTGGTGGGGGAGGAAGAGGGCACTGGGTAGAGATGGAGGAAGTGGGAGAGAGGATATGTCAGGTGCTTGGATGGTAGAGGAAGGCAAGATTCCACAAGGGGTCAGTCAGGGCAGACAGATGGGAAGAAAAAGATAAAGAAGCCTATAGGAGAGTCCTGCCAATGCAAAGGCCTGGAGGTTGGTGTTGGCCTGGTATGTGATGTGTCTTAGGCAGAGGGGGTCCTCTGATGGCATCAGGAGTTTCGGGGAGGCTGAATTGGGATTACCCTGTCTCTCCTTCTGCCTGAGAAAAGAGAAGAAAACCTAACACCATTGGTGGAAAATGTAGGTGACAGCAAAAGGTTGGGCTCCCAGCCCCAGAAGAACCCACTCAGGGCCCCCTGACCTTCCTGACCTAAGAACCATCCTCTCTAATCCCACGCAGATGCCTGAGCTCCCCTTTCTGCTGCTTTTTATTTTTATTTTTATTTTTGCAGTGCTGGGGTTTGAACTCAGGGCCTACACCTTGAGCCACTACACCAGCCCTTTTTTGTGATGGGTTTTTTCAAGATAGGGTCTCAAAAACAATTTTCCCAGGCTGGTTTCGAAATGTGATCCTCCTGAACTCTGCCTCCTGTGTAGCTAGGATTACAGGCATTAGCCACCAGCACTCAGCCCCTTTCTGCTCCTTGCTCCACCTTTGCTCCTCATCCCATCTTTGGAGTCCCATTCATTCAGGGAAGGCATATCAAGTATTGACTGTATACCAGGTACTGTGCTGAGCTTCCCTCCGGGCAAACAGAGAGGGCTAAAACATGTAACAAGACTCAGACAAAGTGGAAGTAAGCTCCACTCCAAGGAATTGGAGTCATCCATAGTAAACGATGTGGAATGGGGCCACCACTGTGGAGGGTCTAACTAGGGTCACCTCCTCACTCTGACAGAAGGAATTTCTCATTTGGATCATTTGTGTCAATCAAGTCAGGACTGAAATTAGGGAGAAGCCACAACTGAAGACTGGGACTCTGAACAGAGAGCTACACCGACCTTGAAACAAAGGCTTGAAGTGGTTGGGCTGGCGTATGGCTGGACAGCAAGTCATGGACTGGTACAGAGAATGAAGGAAGGCTGCTAAGGGATGAGGTAGAATAAGCCACCTAGGCCAGATCACGCAGAGCCTTGAATGCCAGGCCCCAGGATATGAGATTCTTTTCTAAGAGCATGGGAAACCATCGGAAGGACTTGAGTAGGGTAGTGCCATAGTTAACTTTGCATTTTAAATAGATGCTCTGAGGGCTGTGCTGAAAACAGAAGGGGGGAAGAAACTGTAGATGTTAAAATTGGCAGAAATAATGGCCGCCTTAGCCAGGGGAGGTGACAGAGGAGATGGTGAGAAGTGAGTGGATTCCAGAGAAGTAAAAAAGGAAAAAAAATGAACCATTTCTTGGGCCCTGTACTAAGTACATTACAGTGATTATCTTGTTAAACCAGTACAACAACCCTAGATATCCCATTTTAAACCACCTTACATGTCCAATATCAAACAGAAATAAACATTAGAAATGGAATTCAAATTCAAGCAGCTGAGTGCCAAAACCCATGGTCTGTACCCCTCCTGTATACTGTTTTTCCCAAGAAGGCAACAACTGAGAAGTATCCATTACAAATTTGTGCAATTTGGGGTTTTTTTTTCAGTAGATTAAATTTACTTATAAAAACATTCTAGCCAGGTGCCAGTGGCTCACACCTGTAATCCTAGCTATTTGGGAAGCTGAGATGGGGAGGATCAAGGCTCGAGGCCAGCCCTGGCAAACAGTTCCCAAGACCCTATTTCCAAAATAACCAAAGCAAAATGGACTGGAGGTATGGCTCAAGTGGTAGAGCGCCTGCTTTGCAAGTGCAAAGTACTGAGTTTAAACCCTAGTCTCACACACATACACACACACACACACACACACACACACAATTTCTAAAAAGGTTCAATTTTTCCTTTTTAACAAAGTATAATAAAACATAAAAATCCCCAAAACAGAATACTTCAAAATCATATCAGCAGAATATTAACAAAACTGTATCTTTTAAAAATATTTATAAAGTTGCATGCAATTTTTTAGAACTGACAAAAGAATGGCTCATATGAGAGAATTTTCCTTCATTCCTGAAAAGAAAATATGCCAAGAGAAGCTGTGAAAGCTTTCAGTCTGCGTACTAACTCTTTATATTTGTGTTGTGCAATGTTTTTAAAAATAGGTATACATTAATATGTTTCAAAATTCAAAAGATGTAAAGGGGTATAAGTGAAAAGTTTCATTTTCCTCTGCAGGCAGCCAGTGTTATCAGGTATCTTTTATAGATTCGTAAATAGTTAGGTTAGCACTTAGTATCTCAGTACTTTTTACATGTATTTCTCTTAGTGTCAGTGAAGAGGAGTATCTTAAGTCTCAACTGTATTGTGCAACATGACATTCATCATTGACCTTGATGGGCCTAGTTTTAGTGGCATGAAGAAGGGATAGTCCAATTAAGAAAGGAATAAGGAATAAAGAGGCCATAAAAGAGTAGAGTTGGAGGGCGGGGAGTGGGGGAGGAAGGTGGCCCAAACAATGTATACACATTAAATGTAAAAACGATTTAACAAAAAGAGTAGAGTTGGAATAGGCAAGAATTTGACCAAGAGGAAGAGAAAAACAAAGGACATGGTTGGAGAGAGCGAGGAGAGTTTTTTGGATGTGCTTAAAATGCAGTCTCTCAAAAAGGAACCCTCAAGACCCTGAACTATGTTTAAACTGCAGAAATTTTGGGCCCTGCCAATTACTGTGTGACCTTGTGCAAGTCATTTAATCTCTCTGGGAGCTCATTTTCCTCATCTGTAAAAACAGGGCTAATAATCCCTACTACATAGAAGTTAAATGAGTGAACACAGTTAACGAACTCAGAAGAGGGCCTGGCAAAACGTCTACTGAGCGGTCCTCCTCTCTTCAAACAGCTAGAGGTGTTTTCTGAGAGAATGATGATCCCAGCTAGTTCTCCCAGCTCCATCCAGCCTCCAGGCTGGAATGGCGGCGGCGACGACCAGGAAAGGCCCGCCGTGCGCAGGCGCGCGCGGCGCGAGTGGCTGGTGCTCGAGGGGCGGGGCTGTCACCGCCTGGGCTGTTCCGACGATCGCGCGCCGCCCCCGCCGCGCCCCGCGCCCGCCCTTGATAGCAGGCACCTCCCGCCCCCCGCATTGCTGATGCTGCTTCTGGCAGACATGGACGTGGTGAATCAGGTACGCTCCAGCACCGCGGACAGAGCCGGCTGCTTCCTGGCCTCCCAACCCGGGTCGCTTTGGCCACCCCCCCTCAACTCTGAGAGTTGATGGCCAGGGAACGGAGACCTGGTCCCTGCGGCTGAGGCTAGGGGTCGGGTCTGTGGCAGGCGAAGGGAGGAACGGGAGGTGGGGAAAAGGAGTGCGCTCTTTGCCGCAGCGAGGGCCGTCCTCACTGCCGCAGCGGGGACTTCCAGAAACCCAGATCAGTACTGGCAATCTCAACCGGGAGCAAGAGGGACCTCGGGCTGGAGGGAAGGCGAGGGGATAGGGGAGGAGAGAGTGAAGGAATATTGAGGGGGTCTGCGGCTGAGCTAGGAAACAGAGCGACAGAAGGTGTGGGGGCGGGGTGGGGGAGAGCTGGCACCCGCCCCTCCCAAAGAGACTGCACCCCGATAGATGACCATCCCTTCCCCCAGAGCAGATCTAAGGGGACAATTTGATTTTTCCTCCCCAAAATCTCCAGTCTCCTCTTCCCCAACATATACTCAGTAAAGCCATGTCCCAACTCTTTCCCCACCTTGATCAGTCCAGACCCTCTCCGCCATCTCACTCTTCTTCACCACCTTGGAACCTCGACCCTCCTTAACCTACCAGCCCCTCCCCATCCTCATCTTCTCAGACCCCCACCACAATCTGACTCACCTTTACCACTGCAGACCCCCTCCCCCATGCTAGCCAACCCCCCTCCCGCCCTGTTATGACTCACCTTCACCACTCAAGACCCCCTCCCCCACTCTAATGAACCCCGATTCCTCCCTCACTCTCTCCACTCAACCTTCTTCCCTATCTGATTCACATTTTAAGGATTTCAAACCCTTCTTTTCTAACTAGTCCAGACTCCATCCCTATCTTCTTCACCCCTGACCTCCTCTGCCATCTGACTCATCATCACCCCAGATATCTCCATCACTCCTGAACCCTGGGGGCCTTCTCTCGAGACCCTGGTGCTTGCTCCTTCCCCAAGGTGTCACTTTCTCCTTCTCACTCCCTCTCCAAATGTCACCCCCTCCCAGAGGTCACATGCCCCATCCCCAGGGATCATTGCCTGGCAGCCTTGCCCCTCACCTCCCTTTCTATTTCCCTCGACCCGACACCCTCCCCACTGTTTCTTTCCTCAGCTGGTGGCTGGGGGTCAGTTCCGGGTGGTCAAGGAGCCCCTCGGCTTTGTGAAGGTGCTGCAATGGGTGAGTGTGGTCTGGGTCACGGGGGGGGGGGATCTGCAAGGAGAGAGGGTGGTAGTGGGTTCAGAAGAGCAGAGGTGGAGGAGGGATAGGGAGCAAGGAATGGATGGGGGTGGAAGGGGATGAGGAAATTGGGCTCCAGGATGAAGTCCCACGGGTCTGAGGCCAAAGGATGGATGGGCTGTGACGTCATATAGGGCTGAGGGTACCCCTGTTGTGAAGTGGCAGGTTGAGACATCCTACCTCCTCTTTTGAAGTAAGGGAGGGGTTGGGGGAGGTGTAGCCTGAAGCTGATTGCAGAGAAACCCAGAGACAGTGAAGGAGACAGAGAATCAGGGACAGGGACTGATAGAAACAGAGATAGAAATACTGAGAAAAAAAAAGAGATAGAGATGAGAGAGAGGAAACAAAGAAAAGGAAGACAGAGAAAGATGCACAGAGAACAGAGGTGAAAAGAGAAATAAACAGGGAGAGAAGCAGGAAAATGGAGTAGGGGAGAGAAAGACAGAGAGAGATGCTCAGAAAAAGAAAGAGAGAGAGAGAAGCGAAACCAACACACAAAGAGGTACAAGGGAGACAGAAAGACCCCTAAGAGAACCATATAGAGACTGTGTGAGAGACAGGACTAAATGGACCAAGATACAAAAAGACACTGACATAGACAGGGATATACGTTCACACAGAGACAGAGAAAAAGAGATGCCTAGAGATAAGAGAGGGAGAAACAGAAGATCAGAGACAGAGAAAGACAGAGATATCTGAGAAAGACAAAGACATAGAGAACTAGACATAGAGAATATAGAGACACACAGAGAGCCACAGAGATAGAAGCACAGACAAGCAGAAAAGAGGAAGATCAGAGAGGTAGAGACATAGGAGCACAGGGAGAGACACCACACCCCTGTAATCAGCTTGGACCTGATGAGCCCTGATTACGGGGTGGGGGTGGGGAACTCTCCCATCTGCTGCTGACTGTGCTGCCCCCCCATCTGTCCAGAGGAGGGCACCCCTCCCACATGCACACAGGCTCACTATGGCCATCCCCATCCCTGCTACCCAAGGTCTTTGCCATCTTCGCCTTTGCCACATGTGGCAGCTACAACGGGGAGCTTCGGCTGAGCGTGGAGTGTGCCAACAAGACTGAGAGTGACCTCAGCATCAAGGTTGAATTCGAGTACCCCTTCAGGTGTGTCCCCGTCCTGGTATCACAACTGACCTGGGAAAGGCAGGAGTCGGGGGGGGGTCTGACCAATACCTCCTTCCCAGAGGCCCTTGCCCAGCCTCCACCTCAAGAGGCTACAAGCACTGGGATCATTTCCCATGTACTGAGCACCTGCTGTGTACCTGACACTGCTCTGATGTCTAGGGCCATGTGGTGATCAAGACAGACACAGGCTTTTGCCCTCTGGCTCTGTTCTCATGAAGAGAAGGGATAGGGCACGGGCAACATACAAGATTCAAAAGTAAAAGCAGAGCTGGGTACAGCTCAACAAACGTTCACATCGCATGTGTGAGAACCTAGACTCCATGCCCAGCATCAGAAAAAAAAGGTAAAACACAGACACACACACACCCCTCTTAAAGCAGCAGATGCTCAATTAATGCTAGTCACTGAATATGGTGGTGCACTCCTGTAATCCCAGCACTCAGGAGGCTGAGGCAGGAGGATCATGAATTCAAGGCCAGCCTGGGTTATATAGTGAGACCCTGCCTTAGGAAAAAAAAAGTGTTGGTGGAGTCACTCAAGTGGGCAGCTGCCTAGCAAGCATGAGGTCCTGTGTTCAACTGCTAGTAATGCCAAAAAAATTATTTAATCCTCATTCATTCACTCATTCCATACACATCTTTCTTTTTTTGGTGGTACTGGGGCTTGAACTCAGAGCCTCATGCTTGCTAGGCAGGTGCCCTACCACTTAAGCCACTCCATCAGCCCTTTTTTGTGTTGGATATTTTCAAGATAGGATCTCATGAACTATTTGCCCAGGATCTCATGAACTACTTGCCCAGGCTGGCTTTGAACCACAACCCTTCTGATCTCTGCCTCCTGAGTAGCTAGGATTACAGGTGTGAGCCACCGGCACCCAGCTTCCATCACATTTTTTGAAAGCCTGTTGTTTGCCAGGTACTGCTCAAAGTGCTGGGGACATAACAGTGACTAAAAGGCCAAGCAGTCTACTCTCTTGGAGCCTATATTATAACAAATTAATAAAGAGGGTAATTACAGATGCAGAAAAATTCTAGGAGGGGATCCTCATGCAGGATTTTGTGAAAGAGAAGAATGAGGAGGTGCTGCTTAGCTATAGGGAATGATGGAACCCCATTAAACAATGCTAACATTTCTTGAGCTCACACTGTGCCGAGTGCTATGCTAGGTGCTAGTGCACAAGAAAGAGCACAAGCTGGCAGGGCCTCTCCCTCCTGAGGGGTGGGGAGACAGGCATGCTGACAGGATTTCAGTTGAGGCTTTCCACTACTTAGCTAAATCACGTAACCACTCTGAGTCTCTGTAAATCGGGATGATAATACCCACCCACAGGGTTGTGGTAAGTCTTTTTTTTTTTTTGGTGGTACGGGGGTTTGAACTCAGGGCTTTATGCTTGCAAAGCAGGTGCTCTACCGCTTGAGCACACCTTCAGTCCATTTTGCTCTGGTTATTCTGGAGATAGGGGCTCGAAAATTATTTGCCCATGCTGGCCTTAAACCATGATCCTCCTTATCTCAGCCTCCTGAGTAGCTAACATTACAGGTGTGAGCCACTGGTATCCAGCTTGTGATGAGTGCTTAGCACAGTGCCTGGCACACAAGTGCTCCCTCAGTATTGGTTGAATAAGTACAAGAGGCTGAGCATGATGGCACATACCTATAATTCCAGGTATTCAAGAGGCAGAGACAAGAGGATTTTCAGTCTGAGGCTGGCCCTGGGCAAAAACAAGAGACCTAACCTGAAAAATACCTAAAGGAAAAAGGGCTGGGGTGTGGCTCAAGTGGTAGAGCACCTGCCTGGCAGGTGCTTGGCCCTGAGTTCAATTTTCACTACTGTAAAAAGTAAATAAGTAAGTAAAAGAAATCAGTTTTAGGAACTCAGGAAAGAGGTCAGGCATTGAGATGGAAACAAGTTTGGGAGCTCCAAGGGGAAATGTAGGCCCAAGAGATCATGCAATGCGGAGGGGAAAGAGTGGAAATAGAGGGAAGCCTAGCCCAGGCCCCAAGCGACAAGGGAAAGAAGAGGAGGTACCAGGCGAGCTGGCCTAAGAGGTAGAGGGGCAACCAGAGATCCACCGCCTCATAGAAGCCAGGGAAAAGAGAGTTTGAGGAAGAGGGACTGTTGGCAACATGGATACTGCTGAGAGCTGGCCCTCTGGGAATCTACAAGGTCACAAAAGTTCCCTATGGACTCCCCACGCCTCCCATGTCTAGGACTTCTGTCCTGGGGATCTTCTCTTTACCCACAAGTCTCCCAGAAAAAAAGTCTGCCCGAGTCCTGATGAGCAATTCTTCCCTCACTGCCTTGATACTCCAAGGACTCCTCATTTCCCCTTGGACACCTCCTCTCCCATCCCAGCGCACCAGAAACACAGAAATTCAACTCCTTGAACACCCTTAGCAAGTAACTTAACCTTGCTAACCCTCTGTTCATTCATCTTAAATGGATATAATAATGCCCGCTTTACAGAATTGCTGGTGACATGTCATTAAATGATACAATTATTTAAACTGCTTACTAGATAACTGATCATTGTAAGCCCCTTGCCTCGGGACCTTTGCTACACAAGGACACCATCTGCTCTGTCTCAAGATCCTACCCCCGAATCTGAGGCCAGAGCTCTGGAGCCCCACTCCAGTCCTCCCCATACACATTTCCCCACAGCCCCTCCTCCATCACACCACAGGAAAGGCTTAGGTCCCAGGACACTTCACCCTCACATGCACGTCCTGCTTCCAGATCCCTTCTACCTTCCTTTCCATGACTTGTCCTGTTCTGTAGCCACTGGATTCTTCTCTGCTATGCATACATCTTTTTTCTCTCAGGGACCTGAAATCAGATGGGGGGAGGACAGGGTCTATACCCCAACCCTACCAGCTGTGTGACTTTAGGCAAGTCAGTGCACTCCTCTGAACCTGTCTCTATCACTGTACATTTCATTCCATAAACATTGCTTGAACACCTACAATGTGCCAGCACTGTCCCAGACCCTGGGGAATCTAACAGTGGAGAAAAGAGAGGAAAAATCCCTGCCCTCTTGCAGTATGCCCTGAAATGTCACATGGGGATCACTGCTTCCGAGGAAAATCAAGCAAGGAAGGTGGCTAAGGAGCACTGGAAGGGAATGGTTCAAATCCATTGTAAATAATGAGGTCTCAGAATACCTTGTTGGGGTGACAGTTGAACAAAACTTGAAGGAGATGGGAGAATAAGACCAATGATATTAAAGAGAACAGCCAGTACAAAGGTCCTGGGGTAGAAAGGTGCCTGGTAAAATCTAGGAATAACCAAGAAGCAAGAGTGCCTGGGATGGAGTTGGGGATGAGTAACACCTATCTCACCAGAATACTGTAAGCAATCAAGTGAAATGTGACTGGTACATCACAGGTGCTCTGTGAATGTTTTTTTCCTCTTTTCCCTGGGACCTGTCAGAATCTGGGGGACCCATTCTGGGGAGGGAGAGGGAGCTCTTAGGGGCTGGGCCACACCTGCCCACCTCTTTCTACAGGCTGCACCAAGTGTACTTTGATGCACCCACCTGCCGAGGGGGCACCACCAAGGTCTTCCTAGTGGGGGACTATTCCTCATCAGCTGAATTCTTTGTCACTGTGGCTGTGTTTGCCTTCCTCTACTCCATGGGGGCCCTGGCCACCTACATCTTCCTGCAGAACAAGTACCGAGAGAACAACAAAGGGCCCATGCTGGTGAGTGCCCACAGCCAACCGCATGCAGGGACTGGGGACTGGGGACAGTGGGCCTCGGAGACTCACTTGGCTCACAGGCCAAACCAACTCCCAGACAAGCCCACGTGCCTGCAGCCATCATGACCACCACACACGTGGCTGCTGCTCCTGGCTCTATGAATCCACAGAGTCAGAGAGTCCCACGGACATACTCCCAGCCCACACAGAATCCCAGACAGGCCCCCAACCTGTGAACCTCCCGGTTCTCACACAACCACGCAGTGTAGATCAAAGGAAGAAGCATTCTAAGGTTCACTGTGACAGTCATGCATGTCACCCTGCCACACAGACGCTGAGTCCTACACAGAGGTATTCACACACCCTCATCCCAGACATGAAATGACACAAATTCCCACATGCAGATAAAAGTGGAAAGACACACCACTTCTCACAGATTCGGAAACACCCCACGGAGTTCCTCCCTCAACACCCGCACCCACACATCACAATCACACTCCCACGTCCTCTGTGTCACGTACACTCACACAAGCTCAAACTGGGAGGGTCACCTTCAGGTGAAAATGTGGGCTTCAGAGCTGCAAAGCCAGGGGAAAAACCAGCTTCTTCTTGGGGACTCCCTCCCAATAAAGCGTGTGATCTGAGGCAGCCCAGGGCCCAGCGTGAAGCAACCCACTCACAGTGCCATCTTCCTCGCCCCTGCCCATATTAGGACTTTCTGGCTACAGCAGTGTTTGCCTTCATGTGGCTGGTTAGCTCATCTGCCTGGGCCAAGGGACTGTCAGATGTGAAGATGGCCACAGACCCAGAGAACATAATTAAGGAGATGGGTGTATGCCGCCAAACAGGGAACACATGCAAGGAGCTGAGGGACCCTGTGACCTCGGGCCTTAACACCTCAGTGGTAAGTCCTGGGAAGCTGGCTGGGCTGGAGGAGGGAAGCTGGAAAACTTATAGTGTGGCATAGGGAATGCTTGAAAGAGAGAATGAGAGAATAGGGGAGATCCTGGAGGAGGCATGCCAACAACAGAGCACTGAAGGATTTGATACCACATACTGTCCCCATGGTGGGAACATGAGGCCTTCTTCCAGATTAGGCTTGGAAGACCTGGATCCCAGACCCAGCCTAGTTGTGTAAAAATCTCCTAAAACTCAGTATCCTCTCAGGACCGCAAAAGGAACAGATAACTTGAAATGTTTCCCTACTGTGGCGCCCCCTACTGGCTGAACTGACACTGTCTGAGCTCAAATCCTAGCTCTGCCACTTGCAAGCTCTGTGACCTGAAGCTAGTCACAAAGCCTCTCGCGGCTCAGTTTGAGCATGTAAAATGAAGAGTATTATTAGGTCCTGCTCCAAAGTTGAGTAGTGAGTGAATTAATAACATACAAAGTACTTAGGAAAAGGCCTGGTACAAGGTAAGTCATATATAAGTGTTATGAATCCTACGATTCCAACTCTTCTTTCCTGTCATTTGCTGGCTGTGAGACCTTGGGCAACTTAGCCTTTCTGGGCCTGTTTTCTCAGCTTTAAAATGGAGATATTAAGGACTGGCAGAGTGGCTCAAGTGGTAGAGCGCCTGTCTAGCAAGCGTGAGGCCCTGAGTTCAAAAAGAAATAAGTAAATAATAAAATAAAATGGGAATATTTTGAGGCTCTGTCTCAAAAATAAACAAACAAGCAAATAGTAAATAAATAAATACACTACTTCCTGTCGAAAAATGGAATTGTAAGCCAGGCAACAGTGACTCATGCCTTGTAACCCTAGCTATTTCAGAGGCTAAGATTAGGAGGATCATGGTTGGAGGCCAGCTGGGGCAAGTAGTTCCGTAGACTCCATCTCCAAAAAATAACCAGAGCATAATGGGCTGGAGGTGTGGACCAAGCAGTAGAGTGCCTGCTTTGCAAGCTTGAAGCCCTTAGTTAAAACCCCACTCCCGCCAAAAAAATGGAATTTTAAGTGAACTAATAACATATAAGGCTCTTAGTCTTAGAACAAGCTGTGAGCTTGCCACCTGTGGCTCACTCCTGTAATCCTAGCTACTCAAGAGGCAGAGATCAGGAGGATCGAGGTTCGAAGCAAGCCTGGGCAACAGATCGAGGTTCGAAGCAAGCCTGGGCAAACAGTTCTTGCGACCCTATCTCGGAAAACCCATCACAAAAAAGGGCTGGTGGAGTGGCTCAAGGTGTAGGCCCTGAGTTCAAACCCCCAGTACCGCAAAAAAATAAAATTTAAATTTAAAAAATTAAATTGTAAGTTCCACATATTTATATTTTATTAATATAAGAGCACATATGTATATATTTTATACATGTGCATTTCTGTGCAAACTTTTGTTTACATACATGTGTATATATGCATGTTAATGGTATACCTATTTTTAACAAAAAGTATATACTTATATTTTACGACATATTACAAGGCACTGGGCGGGAGACCACAGCTGGGTCTGGTCTTCTTGCAGGTTTTCGGCTTCCTGAACCTGGTACTCTGGGTCGGCAACCTGTGGTTCGTGTTCAAGGAGACAGGCTGGGCCGCCCCGTTCCTGCGCGCACCTCCTGGCGCCCCCGAAAAGCAGCCAGCACCCGGGGACGCCTACGGAGATGCCGGCTACGGGCAGGGCCCGGGCGGGTATGGGCCCCAGGACTCCTACGGGCCCCAGGGTGGCTACCAGCCCGACTACGGGCAGCCAGCCGGCGGCGGTACCGGTGGCTACGGGCCTCAGGGCGACTATGGCCAGCAAGGATATGGCCCGCAGGGTGCGCCCACCTCCTTCTCCAATCAGATGTAATCTGGTGAGTGATGGGCAGGTGTTGAAGCCAAGGAGGGTACAAGAAAGGAGATGGGTGGTTCATGAGCCAATAAGCGTCAAGAGTGGACGGCACGTAGGGCGTTTGCCAGACGAGTAAAGCCGAAGTTTGAAGGAACCAATAGAGAGGCAGAGCTACGTAGGAAAAGCGGAGAGGTTAGCCAATGAGTGGAGATCAGGAGAGGGGTTCTTGAAGATGGGCAGAATAAAGAGCCAATAGAAGGGAGGTATAAGTACAGCTCTGCTGGAAGGAAAGGGTGGGAGAAGTGTGCAGAGCAACCAATGAGAGGAGGGAATTGCAGGAGGACTTGCGCAGTGAGAAAATCAGTGGAACTGGGGAACCAAGAAGGGAGGGGGCGATGGGTCTCAGAAAAGCTAAACTATTTGGTGAAACTAAATGACTTGGGTTTTGAAGATCAGACGAGCTTACCAATGCGGAAGGAGCTGGTAGATCTTTTACCTCTCCCCAGCCCTCGAGGTGAAGGAGATGGTGTGGAATTTCAAAAGAGGAAAAGAGGCAGCCGGGTGCTGGTGACTCAGGTCTGTAATCCTAGCTACTCAGGAGGCAGAGATTACGAGGATCGAGGTTTGAAGCCAAGCTGGGCAAATAGTTCCTGAGACCCTATCACTGAAAAAAAAATCACAGTCAATCAATCAATCAATAAAAGGGGTTGGTGGAGTGGCTCGAGGTGTAGGCACTGAGTTCAAACCCCAGTATCACAAAAAAAAGAGGTAGGGTGGTCCTGGAAAGACTTGTGGGACTTCTTACTGGGGCTTTAAAGAAAAATGAGGGGCTGGGGGCATGATTCACCTGATAGAGTGCCTGCCTAGCAAGCGCAAGGTCCTGAGTTCAAACTCCAGCAGCGAAAAAGGGCGGGAGGGGGGTGCCGGAGGAAGGAAGGTGAAACTGGGTGCGGAGGCTCATTTCTGTGAATCACGGCTACTCTGGAGGCAGAGTTGGGGAGGATGCCAGTTCGAAGCCAACCCCCAGGCAGAAAGCTTACAAGCCAGTGTGTGGTGGCATGCGCCTGTGATCCCATCTACTAGAGAGGCGTTAGTTAGGAGGATCCTACCCAGGCAAAAATGAATGACACCCGACCTGAAAAATAAGGCAAAAAGGGAGCTGTGGACATGACTCAAGTGGTAGAGCACCTGCCTAGAAAGTGCATGGCCCAGAATTCAAATCCCAGTACCACCAAAATGCCAGGCTGGTGCATGCCTTCCTATAGTCCCAGCACTAGGAAGGCTGAGGCAGGAAGATGGCTTCCTGGGGAGGCTGAGTTGGAGGCCAGTCTGGGACATGGAGTGAGACCCTGTCTTATAAAATAGAGAGAGAGAGAGAGAAGTTTCCCTTATGAAGGGGAAGGTGAGGGGATGACTCCAGGAGGGAAAGGAAAGGAAGTAGCAAAAATCCTGGGCTGGGGCATGGCTCAAATGATAAAGTGCCTGCCTAGCAAGCAAGAGGCCATAAGGCCCTGCGTTCAAACCTCAGTTCCACAAAAAGGAAAAAAAAATATTTGACTACCTTCAAAATATAGTCATAGTCTTTCTATTTCTCACCATCATTTTCTCTGGACCTCTTGACAGGTGTCCATCCCATTCCCATTCTGTTCTACTCACAGCGTCCCCAGAGATTCTTTTACATGTTGAATTAGACCACTGCTCTCCTGTACTCAGAAATAAGATTTGTGCCATCTGACTCAATCAAATTAAAAGCAGACATCTTCACTATAGTCAGGAGGTCATACACATTTAGCCCCTTCTCACTTTTCTGACCACACTCCCACCATTCCCCCTACTCTGGTTATTTGTTTTTGTTTTGTTTTGTTGCAGGTTGACCTCTGGACCTCATGCTTGTTAGGCAGATATTATACCACTACAGCCACTCTGCCAGCCCAACCACCACCACCACCACTCACTGTTTCAGCCAAACTGGCCACCTCTGTGTGCCAATTACAATCTGACCTCAAGGCCTAATGAGTCTCTCTCTCTCTCTCTCTCTCTCTCTCTCTCTCTCTCTCTCTCTCTCTCTCACACACACACACACACACACACACACACACACACAGATATCTTTACATAGCCAGCTCCCTTTCATCCTTTTGGTCACTTGCTCAGTAAGAACTTATCTGGCTGCCCTGTTAACAAATCCCACTTGTTATCTCCTTCATATACCCTGCGCTTTTACTTATGCACAATCTATAATAATTTAGCTTATGTCTTTCTTGATGATCTCTTTACTAGAATATGGGATGTGACCAAGACTTACACTTTACACACATCACTTAGCACACTCTTTTTTTTATTGTTATTATCGTGCTGGGGGCCACATTGTGACATTTACAAAAGTTCTTACAATATATCATAGTTGAATTCACCCCTCCATCATTCTCCTTTATCCCAAAGCACACTGAATGTTAAGAAACATTTTATTGAGATAAGTAAGTAGATATTTTACTCTTCTCTGCCCAAAATCACCACCATGTCTTAGGCTTCATCCAGAAGCAAAGCTATAGTCCTCACAGCTTGGTCCACGAAGGCCTGGTGTGACCCCATTTCCAGCCTTTCTTACATCACCTCCTTTCCACTCTCCCCCTTGCTCAGTCCACTTTGCTTATCCCATTTCATTTAGTATCATTTTATTCTACATAATTCACTTAAGTATCATTCTCCTTGTGTGAAGTCTGTCTCCCTCTGCTACAATATAAGCCCCACAAAGACAGGGATCTTTGTTTTTGCTCAGCATAGACACCAATGGCTTTGACAGTACCTGTTAATGGACTTTTGGGGTTAGGAGAGATTTGCCCTTGGGAGCAAGGTCAGGAATATCTTCCCATTGAGGGCAGCTCAGATGAAGCTGGCTTCAGGGCTGTAGATGAAGGAAGAAGGAAGAAAGACATGCCAGGCAGAAGGAAAAGCCAGGGTGAAGGCATAGTACCCCAAGTCCTCCCTGAGAGTGCCATCTATGTCTGGACCCTTTCTCTCTGTGTCTTTTGTCTCTACAGGTCAGTGCAACCCTGGAGGACCCCATGGGTGGGCAAGAGCTCAAGAGAAGGCCTGCCCCCTTTCCCATCCCTATACCCTAGGTCTCCATCCCTCAAGCCAGGAGACCCTGTCTTTGCTGTTTATATATATATATATTATATATAAATATCTATTTATCTGTCTGAGCCCTGCCCTCTCCCACACCCCTCATGCACTAGGGGCCCAGTCTTGAATGGGCTCCTCCCTTACCCCTACCTATTCCCTTGCATCCCTCAGCCCCTCTCTGTTCCCCGGCCCTGTCCCCTGAGGTTAGGGGGCGCTGGAAAGGGGACAGGGAGGAGACCAGACCTTGGCTGTGTGGGGAGGGTGGGCGTGACTTCAGACTCTCTCCCCTCTCTCCCTCCCCTCCTCCTAACTCTGGCCTAGGTTCCTCCAGCGATGTCTGAACAGAGGTTATGAAGGGAAATTCAACTCCAGGGTGGGAGAAAGGCAGATTGGAGGCACTTAGGGTAAAGAGGGCAGCTTCACACCCAAGGTGGTCTTGAAGGGAAGCTCTGGAGTGTCCAGAGGCAGGGGGTTGGGTTCCAAACATACTGGATCTAGAGCCTAAAGGAAAGGAGTGCCTGAAGTATTCTGGGCTTAAAAGGGGGCTGTAGGCATGGCTCTAGAAAGGGGCTTTAACTGAGGCCACAGTGTGCTTCAGGGTGGGCGGGGGCTTGGGTTGGAACCAGCGATTCTAGAAGGGGTGTAGCTTGTAACATTCAGGAGTCTGAGCTTGATTCTAAAGTGGATAGATCTTGAGCAGGGCAAGAAGTGGGATTCTGGAATGGCCTACACCTGGGTGAGATCCTGGTCGGGGTTCCAGATGGGACAGGGCTTAGAGCTGGGAGTGCATGGTGGTTTTGGAAGGCGCAGCCTCTCCCCCAACGAGGCAGTGAAGAAAACAGGTTTTAAAGTGAGCGGGTTTGGGCAAATGAGTTGGGAGGGGTTTGGTTAGGAGCCCAGGGATGAGTTTTAAGGGCAGGTGGGAATGCTTCTGGCCAAGGCTAGGTACCGAGGTGACCTAGGAAGAGCTGAGGGGTGGGATCCAGAGAGAAATACCCCTTGCCCACCCCATTGATGAGACAGCTAGGTAATCAGAGGACAGAGCCCACGGGTCTGTGGGGCTGGTCCACCCTCTTCCCTTTACCCTGCCGGCTCCCTCCATACCATCACCAGTCCCGGGGTGGTTGGAGGCCAGGTCTGGAGTTTCTATCTTGCACCCTCTGCTGTGTCTGTGATGTCGGTAGTGCCTGTAATCGTGTGTTGCCATTTTGTCTGGTTGTGGCCCTCCCTCTCCTCTCCAGAACCCTCCCCCCTTCCTGCGCCCTTCGGTATTGTTTGAAGACCCCCTCCCTGAGGAAGAAAAAATATGAGTAATTCTCCTCCCTCAAATAAACTCCTCAACCACCTAGGTCTCCCGGCTCTGATTTCTGTGTGTCTTTCTTGGAGGGTGGACAAGGGGAGAGGAGGTGACCGGAAGCTCAAGCCCTGACCACATCCTCAGTGAAGCCCCGCCTTGCCCATCTAAATCAAGCTCCTAATAGCCTTTCTCGGTGTCCCATGACTGGCCACCAGATGCCCAGTCTTTCTCGGGTTTGATTCTCACTCTGGTCCCTTAGCCACGACCCTTACCAGTCCCTGTGAAGTCTTCTCAAATCCCCAAGGAGTCCAACTAGGGCTACTCCACAGGGAGCCCTCACCCTAGCAACCTCCCATGCTCTTCAAATTCTGTCTTCTCCTCGACGCCGCAGTGGCAGGAGAACTGGGAGAAGGGCTAGGCAGGGAGGCGGGGCGCTGGCGCGACTACCCGGCCTATTAATTTATTCATTCTCTTTTCTCCCCTCCCCGGCTCCTCCCTGGGATGAGGAGGGCGGGAAGTGACAGGGATGTGTGTAACTGGGTGGGGCACCTTCCCCGGCGCCGAAGATGAAAGGTCTTGCAAACTGCCGCCGCCTAGATGCTTAATTAGAGACCCGGGCCGGGCTCCCGAGTTCTGAATTCTGACTGCGGGCGCAGGACCCTCCTACACACACCTCCTCTCAGCCCCGGGGCTCAGAGAAGCCTGAGAGCGTGGAGAGATCGGGAACCAACCGAGGTCAGGGACAGGGATAGGTAACTTTGGAGAGAAAATGGGGGCGGAGAGAAGGCTTTAAAATCAACCTCCCTGGGTTAGGAGACACCATGGCTGGACTGGTATGGATGGGGAGAGAGCAGGGAAGAGGGCCTCATCATGGCCAGTGACTTTAGCCCCCTCCGCATAAATCTCAAATAGTTCTGGCTCTGAGAAGGGAGTAGGAAGAGTCTAGCTAGACCTGAGAGCCACGGAGCACCAGGACTGTGGATGAAGTTGGGAACCATTCTTGCAACATTCATCCAGGGAAAAGAGACTATGGGAAGGGGCCAAGAGTTGGCTTTTAACCCCTGCCCCAAATAAGCATGCAACTTAAATCGGCACAACGCATCACTCCTTCCAGTCAGGTCGCCACCTCCAAGCCCCCCCACCCCCCCACCCCCGGCTCCGGTCCTGGTCGAGAGGGTAGGGGGCTTTAATGTAAGGCACTCCTGGGCTTTGGGCAGCTCATCTTTGGGTAGGGGACGCCTCGGCGCCCGAGAGGCACAGGCCCGGGGGCGGGCCCTACCGGGCGCGCTCCTCCCACGCCGGAGTCAGGTTTACGGAACAGAGCGGCCAGGCCGGACGCGCTGTGGCCTGGCGGCCTTGAGGACTCCATTCGCCTGACCCAGGCAGGCTTGACCCTGTCTGAGCGCGCCATGTTCGCGCGTGGGTCCCGGAGACGCCGCTCCGGGCGTGCGGTGAGCAGGACTCAGGGGAGCGGTGGGGACCAGGGGGAAACTGAGGCCCAGGCGAGGGGACAGGGCACAGGGATAGCGAGAAAGAGCCCCACAGAGTGTCTGGGAAATCCCATCCCCAGCTTTTCCAGAGCAGGCACAGGGACTACAGGAGGCGCACGGACGAAGGAACGTGTAGATCTGGTGGCCCATACTCTCTAATCACCTCTCCACACATCTTAATCAGCACCTCGGGGACCTGGTGTGTTCCTCTCTCCTGAGAATTATAGGAGGGAATTCTGAGGGTCAAAAGATTGAGTCTTGGGGTCTACGGTGGATCAGGAATCTCCTCAACTTCTGAAGGAAGGGACCTCATACCTCAGGGAACGGCGGACTGAGGGATGGGTCTGGTGCCCCGACTTGGGATCGAGGGGCTGAAATTTGGGGTAACAGGGCTTCCAGGCTTCTACCTAATCCTGGAAGCTTTTGCCTTCGTGAATAGGAGGGTCCCTCTCTTCCTATGGAGGGAGTTTCTGACCAGGAAAGGTGGGGTCTGGGTTTGGTGGTCCAGAGGAGGGAGTAGTCCAGGATATAAGGGATAAAGGCCAGGGCTTCTTGGGATGGGCGTTTTTGAATGGATCGAGGACGTCCTGATATCCTGGGAGAAGGTCCTCAGTTCTTTAAGTAGGAGACGGAGAAGCCAGGGCTTGAGGGAGGGGCAGAGCCATACGGGGATCCCAGGGAAGAAGGGAGGGCTCAGACTCCTACCCTGTGGAAGTGGGGTGCTGCTGGTCTCTTGGGTGGAGAATGGGCCAGGATGAGGCTTGGGAGGGGATGCCCAGATTAGTGACTCTGTTTTGGAGGGGAGAGTACTCGGATTCAGATGAAGGTGTTTGAGGCCTGGAGTCGGGGTGGGGGGGAGGGGTGAGGGAGGAGGAGGCCAAAGACAATCCAGGGAGGGGAATCCCCTGAAAAGGAGGCATGCAGGGAGGTGGTCTCGGTTGCCCCGCTTCCGGCTCGGTTTTGTCCCCCTCCCCCGCGCTCCAGGCACTGCCTCAGCCTGCCCAGCGCTGCCCTAGTGGGACAGGCCCCAGCGTGCGGTCGCGGGAGTGGAGGGGCGGGCGTTGACTTCTACCTCCCTGCTCCGACGCCTCTTCGGGCCCTGTCTCTACCCCGCCCACTACAGCCTCCAGAGGCAGAGGACCCAGACAGGGGCCAGCCCTGCAACTCCTGCAGGGAGCAGTGCCCAGGTTTCCTGCTACACGGCTGGAGGTAAGTGAGCCTACCCAAGGCCTTGCCTTTGTCAGAGCCACACCCTCAGGGGGAACTCCCGGGGCTTAGGCCACGCCCCTAGACTTGAGCTCCGCCCATTGAACGCAATAGGAAAAAGAGCCTCAAACTCAGATTCAGAGCCCCGCTTCCTGACTCATTCCCTGGAGTCCTGTTCCCAGAAGAGTTCCACCCATTACGCAGCCAGGCCCGCAAGAATTGTCCCAATCCCTAGAAAGATCCTCCGTCCCTGACCCTGAGCACCTCCCACCGAGCCCCCCCCCCCCCCGCAACTCCCTTCTTAGGCTCAGAACTTTTCTCCCAGACCCAGTGTCCTATCTTCTTACTGGACCCCTGCACTCAAAGTCTCAAAGTCTCATAAAATACCACACATAGCTGGAGGCATGACTCAAGCACTAGGGCGCTTGCCTAAGTGCGAAGCCCTGAGTTCAAACTCTAGTACCACCAAAAAAAAAAAAAAGATAACCACAGACAAAGCGGGCGCCGGTTGCTCACAACTGTAATCCTAGCTACTTGGGAGGCTGAGATCCGGAGGATGACGGTTCGAGGCCAGCCCAGGTAAATTAGGTCTTGAGACCTCATCTCCAAAATAACCAGAGCAAAATGGATTGGAGGCGTGGCTCAAGAGGTAGAGCACCTGCTTTGCAAGTGTGAAAGCTCAAACCCTAGTCCTACCCAAAACAAAAAAAAAAACCCACAGACCCCACAGCCCCACAACAGAGAGAGAGAGAGAAAGAAGAGAAGAGAAAAGAGACAGAGAGAGTGAGTGAGTTCAGAGCCTCATCACAGGCTAGAGCTCTGCTCTAGGGAGAGTTTCCCCACCAAACCTTTCCTGAGGTGAAGTGCCTGGATTTATAACCCCAATCGCCATTCCAGAGCTTTGCGCCTCTCAGACTGACTGCCCAGTTTGACCCAAATTCCAGAGCTGGAAGGTTAGGCAATGTCCTTTGAGACCTCGTAGCCCCACCCCTGCACATCCTGTGCCCAGGCTAACAGCCCTATCCTCTGGGGCCCTATCTTCCAGCCCTGCCATCAGCCAGGCAGGCTGATGAGAAGGGACCTTGTAGTCAGGGCCCCTCTCCCCACAGCCTGACTGCAGGCTCACAGTCAGACCCTGGCCCCACTCGAAGCCCTTTGGTGATAATATACATGTTCCACCCTTCAGGTGGATGTGCGCTGTCTAGAGGTCTAGGTGGATAACGCCTTAATAATTGACCCCCATTCTGGCCCCCTTAGAAAGATCTGCCAGCACTGCAAATGCCCACGAGAGGAGCACGCAGTGCATGCCGTGCCTGTGGATCTGGAACGCATCATGTGCCAGCTAATCTCAGACTTCCAGCGCCACTCCATCTCCGATGATGACTCAGGCTGTGCTTCGGAGGAATATGCCTGGGTGCCCCCGGGCCTTAAACCTGAGCAGGTGACAAAAGGCTGGCCAACCACTCTTGTTTTCCAGTGGGTGCGCACACATGCACACACACTCAGGTGGGAAGGTATTTCTGGAGCAATGCTAGAGTGTGGTCAGACTATCAGTGTCCTTCTGATCCCTCTGCGACTGAGGGGTGGTCAGTCCCCCACCTCTCAGAGCACCCTGAGTGATCACTGGCCAGTTCTTCAGGATTTGTTCACCCCCCCCACACTCTGCCCCTCACCCCAGGCTTTTCACAGTGCTTCATTCATCATATCATCGATTCCGTGAACTATATCAAGGCATGAAGGACACACCAATGAAGAAAAGGCAAAAGGGGCTGGGGGTGTGGCTCACTGGTGGAGCTGTTGCCTAGCATGCATGAGGCCCTGGGTTCCATCCTCAGCAACATACATACATACACACACACACACACACACACTAACATATCTTCCCACATAGAGGTTAGGTTCCTGAATGGAGTAACAGCCAATAAACAAACCTATAAATATACAATCGTGCTTTGATAAATAACCTCATGGGATTGATTCCACAACCCCTATATAAAATGGCATAGATTTTGCATATAATATAGACACAGCTTCCCATATATTTTAAATCCTCTCTTAATTACTTGTAATACCTGATATAATGTAAATGGTATGGAAATTGTTGTATTTTTATTGGCTAGGATGTAGCTTAGTGATAAAGTGCTTGCCTAGAAGGTGCAAGGTCCTGGGTTCAAGCCCCAGTATCATTTTTTAAAAAGGTATTATTTAAGAAATAATGACAAGTAAGAAATCTACCTGTTCAGTACAGGAGCACTTTTTTGCAAATATATAGATATATAGCTTACAGAACAGAGATTTATTTCTCATAGCTCTGACTGAGATCAGGCCAGAAAAACTGGGTTCTTATGAGTGGCAGACTTCTTGCTGTGTCCACATGGCAAAAAGAGGAGGGGTTTTTTGGCGGTACTAGGGTTTGAACTCAGCACCTCATGCTTGCAAAGCAGGTATTCTACCACTTGAGCAACTCTGCCAGCCCTGTTTTGTTTTTTAAGACAGGGTCTCATACTGGCCTTGAAGTTGCTATGTAGCCCAGGCTGGCTTCAAACTTGAGATCCTCCTGCCTCAGCCTCCCAAGTGCTGGGATTACAGGCATGGACCACCATGTCCAGCTTCTTTTCAAATATTTTTGATCTGTGGTTCTTTAAACCCAAGGATGTGGAAACTTGAATACAGGGGGCTGACTGTACATCAGAAGGGCTATGGAATTTTTAAAAAGCAAGAAAAGCAGTGGAAAAAGAAAAAGGAAGGGAGGGAAGGAGGGAGAGAAAGGGAGAGGGAGAAAGAGGAAAGAGGGGGGGGCTGGAATGGTAAATAGGTGCCCAGGTAAGCCTCTGTAAGAATTTAATGCCAGCTGTCCTGAAGGAGGTGAAGAAGTGAGGCTGGCAGATATCCGAGGTTAGCACAATGCAGGCAAAGGGAGTAGCAATGCCAAGGTCCAGAGGCAGGACTAGGCACATCTGTGTTTGGAAGAGTGAGGAGACCAATGCCACTGAAGCAGAGTAAGAAGAGCAGTTGGAGGGGAGGTAATACAGGTGGTGGGGCCATGGAAGAGGACTTTGGCTCTGAACGAGGGGGGATGTCACAAGAGCAGAGCAGGGATGGGATTTGTCTTAGGGGATCTCTGGCTGCTATAACACCCTATAGGAGTAAGGGAGGAAGCAGGGGAAACAGTGGGGAGGAGGCTACTGCAGTAGTCGAGGTGACTGCTGACTGCTGGTAGAGGAAGTAGTGAGTCTGGTTCCGAACAAACACACACACACACACACACACATGGGAGGGGGGGAGAATTTTTTGTGGTGCTGTGTATGGAACACCCAGGGCCTTGCACATGCTAGGCAACTGCCCATTCACTGAGCTACACCCCCAGTCCCGATTCTGGTTATGTTTTCTTGTTCTTGTTGTTTCCTTTTCATATTGGTTATTTGCTATTGTTTTGTATTATTTGAGACAATGTCTCACTTTGTAGCCCCTGGCTGGCCTTGAACTCACAATCCTCCTGTCTTTGCCTCCCAAGTGCTGGGATTACATGTGTGCACTACCACACCCAGTACTCAGCTCTACTTTAAAATATATCCAAAGCTGGGTATTGTGCTTCATGCCTGTAATTCCAGCACTCAGTAGGCAGAAGCAGGAGGATCATGAGTTCAAGGCTGGCCTGGACTACATAGCAAGACTCTGACTCAAAATAAACAAATAAATAAAAGTAGAGCTGAGAGGTTTTCCCGGTGACTTGAAAGACAGCAGTGAAAGATGACCCCAAGAATTAGCAGATGGAGTCACTGCTATGAGAAAAACCAAGGCAAGAGCAAGTTTGAGAGATAAGAGTCTGAGGTGCCTGTTAGACAGCTAAGTGGCAACATTGCCTGGAACTCAAGGGGGTGGTCACAGGGCTGTAGGTATGCATTTATGACACCTTAGCCAACAGATAATATTTACAGCCATGAGGTTGGAGGCAATTCCCAAGACAATGAACAGTGGCAAGAGGACCAAGGACTGAGCCCAAGAACCCTCCCATATTCGGGGGTCAGCTAGGTGAGGAGAAATCAGAAGGACAGAGAAGGAGCAGCCAATTGAGGAAGGAAGGAAACCAGGACTGTGTGGTGGCCTGGAGGCCAAGGGAAGAAACTTTTTCCAGGAAGAGGGAGTGGCCATCTGGGTCCAGGGCTACTGATGGTCAAGTCCAATGAGGACTAAGACCTGAACAATGATTTTAACAATGTGGACATCCCCCAATGACCTTAGCAGCTTTGCAGGAGGGGCAGGAGTGGAAGCCTGACTGGAGTAGGGTCAAGAGAGAATGGGAAGGAGGAATTGGAATGCTTCCAACTCTTTGGAGGAGTTTGACCGAAAAGGGAAGGAGAAAAGAGCTGGGCTGGAGAGGGGAGAGGGTCAAGGCAGAAAGGAACTCTCAGCATATTTAGAAGCTTTAGGAAGGAGGGTGGCGTTAGGAAAGTTCCCTTCTGATGACTTTAACTGTCTTGTAGACCAGAAGCCCACCACAACTCACCATATCCCAGCTCACCCCTAATCTCAACTGTCTTCTCCCTCCACCATGTCCTCCTAGGTGTACCAATTTTTCAGCTGCCTCCCAGAAGATAAGGTCCCCTATGTCAACAGTCCTGGGGAGAAATACAGGATCAAGCAACTGCTGCACCAACTGCCCCCACATGATAGTGAGGTAAGGAGAGAGAAAACAAGAAGGGCATGCTAAGTACAGGGCACAGCCTGGGCAAAGGCAGGTCAGCTGGAAAGAAATGGGCACGGTCAGAGAAAGAAAGGTGAGCTGAGCTAAGAAGTCTGGACAGGTAGGGGTCACCAGCCTGGGCCCAGGGGTGGGCATTTCAGGCAGGAGGCACCATCTATATGAAGGCCTAGAAGTAAACTTTGTGGACAAGGATGAAGTCTGGGAGACCCCTCCTTTCCCCAGGCACAGTACTGTACAGCTCTGGAAGAGGAGGAGAAGAAAGAGCTCAGAGCCTTCAGCCAGCAGCGGAAGCGGGAAAATCTGGGGCGTGGCACTGTGCGCATCTTCCCCGTGACCATCACTGGGGCCATCTGTGAGGAGGTGAGCCATTCAAGGTCCCTGTCAGTGAAGGCCCTGGGAAACTGAGGCCTGCCACTTAAGCTGTCCCTAGAGCCCACTAGTGAATAGGACCTGTCTCTTAGGTCCCACTGTCGGAAGCAGATTATCTCTAAGGAGGCCTTGGTATATATCCTCTGTGATTTTTCTCCTCTCTGTGCAGTGGACACAGGTGTAGGCTGTCTCTTTGGTTTTCTTGTAGTCAGGACTTTCCTTAAGAACTGCAAGCCAGATGCCGGTGGCTCACGCCTATAATCCTGTCTACTCAGCAGGTAGAGATCAGGATGATTGCAGTTCAAAGCCAGCCTGGGCAAATAGTTCATGAGACCCTATCTTGAAAAAACCCATCACAAAAAAGGGATGGGGGGGGCTGGTGGGGTGGCTCAAGTTGTAGGCCCTGAGTTCAAACTCCAGTACCACAAACAAAAAAAGAACTGCAGGCTCAATGGTAGAGCACCTGCTTACCATGTATGAGACTCTGGGTTCTATCACCAGCATCACACACACACAAACTGACCCATAGTAAAAAGGCCTGTCTCCAGAGCCCTCCAAAGTTGGTGGATTTGTCCTCCTGGTGGGTGAGGCCTGTCCTTAGAATTTACTGTTTGGTGGGCAGGCAGAATGGCTCAAGCTGTGCCTGCCTAGCAAGTATGCGGCCCTGAGTTCAAACCCCAGTGCCACCAAAAAGAGAGAGAGAACTTACTGTTTAGTGAGGTCTGTCCCTAAGGTCCTGGTGGGTACAAACTATCTCTGCTGTTCCTCACTAGCCCTGGCCTTGTCTCTATGTCTGCCCCAGCCCTCTATGGGGGAGACTTGCCTGTAAGGCCACCTGCCATGGTAGGGCCTGTATCTATGGTTTTCCCCCATTAACAGGGTCAGTTTCTAAGGTGCCCTCCCCCACAGGTGGGAACTATCTCAGTTATCCTGTAGGGGGAGCCAGTCAACAAAGGTTTACCATGGGGGAAGGCCCAAGTATGATATGCCTGGCTGACCTCATTGGTCAGATCACCTTGGTGATAGATAATTAATGGTGCCTGTCATTTGGCAGTGCGGGAAGCAGATCGGAGGTGGGGACATTGCCGTGTTTGCCAGCCGTGCCGGCCTGGGTGCCTGCTGGCACCCACAGTGCTTTGTGTGCACCACATGCCGGGAGCTTCTTGTTGACCTCATCTACTTCTATCATGCTGGCAAGGTCTACTGTGGGCGTCACCATGCTGAACGCCTGCGCCCTCGCTGCCAAGCCTGTGATGAGGTTTGTCCTCCCTGGCTGGGGTGGGAGTAGAGGGTGGGCAGGGCCAGGGGCAAGCTCTTCTGACAGCCACAGATGATCTGTGTCCTCCAGATCATCTTCTCCCCTGAGTGCACAGAGGCCGAGGGCCGCCACTGGCACATGGGTCACTTCTGCTGCTTCGAGTGTGAAGCTTCACTAGGAGGGCAGCGCTATGTCATGCGTCAGAGCCGTCCCCACTGCTGCGCCTGCTATGAAGCCCGCCATGCAGAGTACTGTGATGGCTGTGGAGAGCACATCGGTGGGTGAACATGATGGGATGCATGGACAGCTGAGCCACCGCCGCACCCACCAGGAGTCCTCCTGTCCTCTACTCCCCATCCCCCACTACACCCTGTCCTTTAAGTCTAGTCTGTGCCCTTCACTGCAATTCCCCCGCAACACACCTAGTTACTGTCATACTTTCTTTCTCTTTTTTTCTGGTACTGGGGATGGAACCCAGGACCTGGAGGGAGCATGCTAAGTACACGCACTACAACTGAGCTACACCACAGCCCAGATGTCATACTTTCTAAATTCTACCCACACAACATTAGGCCGGCGCTACATGCCTAGACCATCATACGGCACCTTCTGATTCTGACCCCCTAAGCCCAGCCTCTGCTGCCCTGAACTATGCCCTACTCTCTTCCACTCTCCTCCATCAGCACAGGTTAGCTCCTACCTTTTAGTGACACTCTACCCTCTTAGACCTTTCCCACCAAGTTTATGTCCTACAGGCTAAGCCCTGTCCCCACCACTCAAGCCTCTTCTTCAGGTCCAGCCTTCCACTACCTTCCACCTGCAGTGGGCACCCCTTAATATCTAAGCCTGGCCCACGTCTTAGAGTCCGATGCCCATCCCCACTCCTGAAGGGGCACCCTGGGAAAGAAAGGGGGAGGGAGACATTAACAGCCAGTCTCCAGGTAATAAGGGGGATGAGGAACCATGGGATGAGAAACAAACCTCGAGTTTCCTGCTTTTTTCAGAGAAGGACCCCATTCCAGAAGGGGGGTGCAAATCAGGGTACTCTGCCTGGAATTCCCCATCTCTTCCCAAGAAGAGCCCCATTCAGGAAAGGTGGGGGTATGCCTGTGGGTTCTGCCTCAGTTTCCCCCCCTCCCCCGCATTGGTCCCCGCAGGTCTGGACCAGGGCCAGATGGCTTACGAGGGCCAGCACTGGCACGCCTCAGACCGTTGCTTCTGCTGTAGTAGCTGCGGTCGAGCCCTGCTGGGCCGCCCTTTCCTGCCACGCCGTGGCCTCATCTTCTGCTCCCGAGCCTGCAGCCTTGGATCGGAGACCACCGCTCCGGGACCCGGCCGCCGCAGCTGGAGCGCAGGCACGGTCACCGCACCGCTCGCAGCTTCCACAGCCGCTTTCTCTGCTGAGGAAGGGGCGTCTGAGACCACTACCAAAGGCACCTGTACCGAGGCCGCGCCTGGTGAGAACCAGGCCCAGCTACCCAGCTACCGTACCGCCCCGCCCCGCCCCGCCCCGCGCCACCGCCCGGCCCTTCCGCTTGACCCGCCCAGACCCAGCACCTGCTGCATCTTTGGCCCAGCGCTCAGCTCCGCCCAGCCTCCTTCCCCACTCCATTCCAGGCCTAGTCTCCAGCCCCAGCTACACTTGCCTTGACAGTCCCGGATCCGCCCCACACCTCTGCAGGACCCGATCCTTACCTGAACTTGTCCCAGCTTGAGCCCAAGTTCCTCCTTTCCTCCAACCCATCACCCTCCACCCTCTGCACCCAGGCCCCGCCCCCATTCTATCTCAGTCCAAGTCTACTTCAGCCCACGCCACGCCCTTTTTCGTCCAAGCCACTTCCCCATTCTCTGGCCACACACCATACACCATCTGGCCTCAGTTGAGATCTTCCTACCCTCCCTACCCCCAGAGCCTGCACCAGGCCTCAGACGGTAGCGGCAACTGGTCTCCGACCCCTGCCCCACTTCCCAGTCCTGGGAAGTCGGGGAGGAGGCCTTTCCCCAGGCTTCCCCGCGGGAGGGAGCGGGCAGCCAGAGCGGGTACATGCTGGAGTGGCATCATCTCTCCTCTTCCAGCTACAGATCCTGAGGAGCCCTCCCGCTTTTTGAGAGGGGCCCCCCATCGCCACTCCATGCCCGAACTGGGGCTCCGCAGTGTTCCTGAACCACCTGCAGAGTCCCCTGGACAGCCTGACCCACGCCCCAACGATAGTGCCTTTGGTCGCCAGAGCACACCACGTGTCAGCTTCCGAGACCCTCTGGTGTCTGAGGGAGGTCCACGGCGGACACTGAGTGCACCTCCGGCCCAGCGCCGAAGGCCACGCAGTCCCCCACCCAGGGGCCCCAGCCGCCGTCGTCGCCGCCACCACCACCATCACCACCACAATCCTGGCAGACGTCGCCACCATCGATGTGACTTGGGATCCGGGTCAGACTCAGGATCTTGCTCCAGCTCGCCCTCCAGCCCCAGTTCCGAGTCCTCGGAGGAAGATGGATTCTTCCTCGGGGAACGTATCCCACTACCCCCACACCTGTGCAGGCCCAGGACCACTCAGGACACTGCAACTGAGACTTTAAACTCTCCGGCTCCACCACTCCCTGGGGACTCTCGCCCAGGGCCTCGCCAGGCCCGAGATAAGAACTGCATCTTGGCCTGAAAGCAGGCAGCCCCAGAGGGGGCTCCATTGTCTGGTCAGTGTAGACAATGACTCCACCACACACACTAGGTCATAGATCCCCTTCCTCCCTCCCTCTTTCTTGTTTGTATTACTGAAGTAATTTAATATTTGTTGAAAACAGGCCTGCCTTCTTTGCCTCCTTGTTTCAGCTGCCCGCCCCCACTTTCTCCCTCCTGATGCTTAAGATTTATCCATTTTGTCAAAGGATTAATTTATTCATTATAGATTTTAACAATCCATTTATTATTTATTTCTCCCTCCACTGCCCACCCCCCACGCTAAGGAGGTTATTTGGAATGAGTCACCCTGAAATTAGAGGCACCCACCTCCCTCATTTTGTAGCTTAGGGTATGGTCCAGGAAGAACTGGTGTCTCCTTATGGACACTGCAGAAGGGAGGGAGACCTAGGCACACATATAAAGGTGACCACATACAGAAGGGTCAATTGGCAGGCTGGAAGACAAAAATTTTCCCATTTAAGGCAGTTTTACCTCAATGGGGGTTGGGAGTTGCTTGGCTGGGAGTGTTGTAGGGGCGGGAAGGAGTTTTTTCTATTGGAAGAGTTATTTGCAGGTTGCAGAGAGAAATGTGTGAGGTTCACCTACACCGGGCCATCTGTGGGGTCTGCAGATGGAAAAGAGAGAAGACATTGGCTGGATCCATATACTCATTCTTTTTTATTCTTTATTTTTTTGTGGTTCTGGGGATTGAACCCAGGGCCTCATGCCTGCTAGGCAAACACTTAACCCCTGAGCTACATCCCCAGCCCTCCATGTGCTCATCTTACAGACAGGAATGCTGATGCTTTTGGTACTTATTGGTACAAAAGACAGAATTACTGACAAAGGACAGAATAGGTGTTCATACTCTTCCCTAGGAGGTCCCTTTCCTTTTCTTCTCTGCTCTTAGCAACACACACACATTTGAGCTCCAGCGCACGTGAGCACACACACACACACACACACACACACACACACACTCACTCACTTACCAGTGGGGGCTGCTGTGTGTCTTTGCTGCCGAAGAGGGAAGGTGAAGTAGGCATCATAGCCAAAGAGTATAGTAGCCATTAGGCCCAGCACCTGGGGGTGGGGACAGGAGTGGGGGGAGGGGTGGATTAGATGGTGGGCACTCAGCCTCTTACCTCCTTATACCTGCCACCTCCAGGGACTGCACCTTGCAGGATGGTGACTCCAGCTTCAGGCTGGGAAGTCAAAGAGTCCCAGGAAAAGGCTAGGATGGTGGATTCCACCCCTCCCTCCCCCTAATATGTCTCAACACAGAACAGCCACATTGTGGCCCTACATGTGAGGGGCACACTTCATACTACCTTTGAGATAAACTTCTAGCAGATGGTAGCCTAGCATGTTAACACATGACAGGGGTCACCTGTTTGTACTTCCTGAATAGGAACCTCCATTCTGACAAGGGACAGCCCTTTTTAGCAAATAATCTTGAGATCACTTGAGAGCAAATTTAGCCTGCTGTGGGTCACACACGTTCTGCAGAAGCAGAGGCAGAAATGGATCTTCAAACCCTTCTCCCTGTGCTTTGGAGGTGCCTACTCCACCATCTTTACCCCAGCGACGATTTTGGAATGGCCTCCTCTCTCAACAAGGACAACAATGGAGGTAATCAGGTAGAGGATCGCTGCTATGAGGGACCGGAAGAAGTCCTGTGAGGTGTAGAGAGAACAGGGAAGTCAGCACGCAGAGTTCCCCAGACAAGACCAACTGCCCAGGCCCCTGTCCAGTCTCGCCATGATTGGCCCCCTTCTCACACTCCAGGGCCAGTTGATGAATGGCAGCTTGGTGTGCAGATCACACATGTAGATGACAAACAGGACAGCAGCGATGATCATCTCAATCACCGACAGGGAGGAGTATGCTGATGTGGAAGCACTGAAGCAAATCAAAATCACCAGGCAGAGTAACTAGAAGGGTGACATGACAAAGGGGGCTAAGTAGATTGGTTAAAATTGGGGTGTGTCTAAAATAAATGCCTACAAGATAAAAAAAAAAAAAAAAGAAATCCACTTCCCATGGCTGGGATGCAGAGCAGTGGCGGAGTGCTTGTCTAGCAAACATAAGGCCCTGGATTTGCTCTCCATCACCGAAAAAAAAAATCCACTTCTCAAATGCCTACCAAGACTGGGAAAATAACACAATGATTGCCAAATTTTTTTTTCCCTGGTGGGACTGGGCTTTGAACTCAGGGATTCACACTTGTGTTCTACCACTTGAGCCACACCTCCAGCCCCGCTGAACACTTTTTGTGTGCTCATTGTGCTCCAAGCATTGTTCTAAGAGCTTTACAAGTATTATTCACTTAGTCATCACAACAACCTAATGAGCCAGGTACGATTATTAGTGTACCTATTTTACAGATGAGAAAAGTGAGTCACAGAGAAGCAAAATGGGTTGCCCAGCGTCACCCAGCAAGTAAAGAGCAGAGCTGGATGCCTCGGTTCCCCTTTTTCCTTCTATGATTTCGGCAGCCAGAGGGGAGTGGCTCTGCCAGGTGTTTTGTGAGCACCACTGGCGCCAGCTTCTAGGCCTTGAGAGGGAGGGACGTGCGGTTCCCCAGGCAACCCCCTTGCAAAGCAGTGAGACTGACACTGGAGGAGTAGGGCTCTGTTAAAGGCGCCGCACCCCTTTTACAAGTGACTCAAAGGCGGCGCCCACTTTGAGGAGGGCGGGAAACCAATGTTCCCCAGTCGGCCGCCCGAAGAGCGGACTTCCCGCCCAGTCCCAAAAGGGCAAGGAAGAACTGGCGAAGGGTGGGGCGCCCATCTTGGGGAACTAGCGTGCGGGGCCCCACCCCAACATGCCCCACCTCTGCGCGCGCTCCCAGCTTCCCACCAGTGCCCAGGCCGCGCCACGCCCTGCCACCGGAGGCCCCCACTTCTCAGACCTGGGGACCCCCTTCACTGAGTCCACTGTTGAGTCCACTGTTGAGTCCACGCGGGCTCCCTCCACTATGCCCCGCACACAAGTTATAGGCTCTTCGCCTCACGTGCGCCACCAGCTCTAGATCACCTTCCCTGATCGCCACTGAAACCCCGCTGCAGCCCAAGTCTTGGACTCCACCAACCCACCCACTTGTGCCCCACTGCTGGGCGCCCCGGCCACGTGCCTGTCTCACCCGGGACTGTCCAGTACCGCATGGTTCAGCCACGCACCCGTCCTTTGCCCACCCGCCTGTCCCGGAACGCTCACAATCTCAGCAAACAGGAGAAGTCCCTTTCGGGTGCGCCAGTAGTTGGTGCAGGCTGCCCAGCAGCCGGGGGCCGAGAGGCGCTCGGAATCCGCCATGGCAAGGGCCGGAGTCCCTGGGAGCGCAGAGGATCTGCTCGCTGGCTCGAGGGTTCGAGGACGCAGCACACCCAACCGTCTGGCCCGCCGTCTGGCTGGGAAGGGGGCCCCCGGGGCGAAGGAGGGAGTGAGTGAATCACCCGGCCGAGCGAAGCGGGCGGGGCCGGAGGGGGCCGAGCCAGGTGGCTCCCGCCCCGGAAGCCCCCTCGCCCCGCCCGCCGAGGACTATACCGGCTGCGAGCACCGCCGCCGGGGCGTCCCATCTCCCAGGTGCTAGGTGCTTGGTAACTCCAGCTACTAGGCACGGAAATATTGAGAACCTTCGCCTTTTTAGAATGCAAAAGCGCTGCCTCGGCTCAGAAGCTCGGGAATCTGGCTTTGGGAGGAGTGACTCAGTTTCCTTAGCTAAAAATCGGCAGATGCCATGTTTAAACCCGAAAGACCCTGGGCCAGGTAGGTTTTCCGAATTCGGGGAGTGTTAAAAGTTCATTATTTCCCCCCAAGGAAAGGTGTGAGTTTTCGCAATAAGGATATTGAAAATTGTTACTCATGAGGTCAGATCAGGTTCTGTAGCTAAATGGTGCCAAACTTGGGGGTGGGACAGTCGGTTTCCAGAGCTTTTTGGATTCTGGAGTTATGGACAAAGGATAATGGAGTGTGAAAACAAACTTTTAGCTGCGTGAATGAGGCCATGCTGATACAAAGGCTGAGCAGAACAGGAGCCCCAAGAATAGGGGCACACCTTGTTAACAGGGTTAGGCACCAGGCACCCTGCACTTCCAGAGAAATCCTGAGTGCTGGGCCTGTTTCCTAGTTCTGAGGAGAAGTGCGGCTGGTCCAGCCCTAGATGAGGAATGTCCCAGGAAAGACACCAGTTTATTATTGCAGGCTTGGCAAGATAAGCTGAGTGTGATGCTGGGGTGACAACGCTGTTGACATTTGCAGAGTATATTATCTGGAACCAGTACCTTCCTCCTGGCTCAGCCTGGGCATGGAATCTGAGCCATGCACCTGGTTGCCTGGAATCAGGATGCCCAAGATGTTCTGACAAATATGCTTTCCAGACTGGACATGAGTTTTTTATTCTCATCTCTTTTGAGGTAGAGAATAATAGTTGGAAGGCCAGGAAAATTCAACCCAAGAACCTACCTGCTCCCAAACACAGGGACTCTCAAACCTGAGGAAGGGGTTCAGCCTAGGTTGCTAAGTGACTGAATAGTGAGAAGCTTGAAACATACTTTCACCAATGCCAAGTGAACACTTCCCAACTGTGACGAGTGTCTGAATTTCTGGAACAAGACAAACTTGGCTGCCTCAGGGCTTTTGTACTTGCCATTCCCACTGTGGTCAGTGCCCTACCCCACCTCTTCATTCATCTAGCTTCTGGTTATTCAGGCTATGGCTCAAATGTTAAGTCTTCAAAGAGGCCTGCAGCCTACCATTATCTTCCCCAACCCCCAACATACCCTTCTCTTTTTTTGGGGGGGTACTGGGGTTTGAACTCAGGGCCTCATGCTTGCTTGGCAGCTCTACCACTTTTGCCACTCTGCCAGCCCTTTTTTGTGATGGTTATTTTCAAGGTAGGGTCTCGAAATTTATTTGCCCTGGGCTGGCTTCAAACCGAGATCCTCCTCATCTCTGCCTCCTGAGTAGCTAGGATTACAGGTGTGCCACTGGCACCTGGCCTTTTTTTGAGAGGGTCTTGCCTGGGAACTCAAGATTCTCCTGCCTCAGTCTTCCAAATGCTCAAATTACAGGCACGCACCACCATGCCCAGCCGTAACCTCCTTTTGCTACATTTGTGACTCTTCTCTCTGAAATTATGTTCTATTTATTCATTTTCATGTCTTGTCTGATTTGTCTACTTTCATTATCCCAGCTGTACAAAGATAGAACTTATGTCTTCTTCCCCAGCATCACCACAGTACCTACTCTGGTACAGGGTGTACAGTTGAGGTTCAATATTAACACTTGTCAAATACAAGTGAGATTACAAAAACAGGTTTGGAAATCAAGCTTTGATCCTTGCTTTGACTCCCCCTACCTCAAGCTATGTGCACTCTCTGGGCCTCACTTTACTCTCCTATGAAATGGACCTATCAGGATTGTTGAGTAGGTGTGTAACAAGGTGAAAATAAATATTGCACTAAAGCCAGTAGCAGGGATGAGGCCTCCAACAGTAAATGGTGGCTGGAGTTACTATTCTTAGTCCTCTGGGTGTGACTGTATTTATAGGAAGGGGGCACTAGAGCCCTTTCCTGACTTCTGTAGAGCTGCACCCCCACCAAGCTATGAGTCAGGGGTAGCTGGAAGCCAACCCCACAATGCCTACAGCACTAACCATTCAAATATGCACCCTTCACCAAGTGTGGTCGATGCTGACTGTAATCCCAGCACTCAGAAGGCTGAGGCAAGGAGGAGCTAGAGTTAGAGGCCAGCCTGGGCTATGCAGTGAGACCTTGTCTCAAAAAAAAAAAAAAAAAAAAAGAAGCCTCCACAAATGTTCACCTCCCGTACTACAGCTACCAGCTAATCCAGTTTTGGCTTTGCAAACCCGTCTCCATTCCAGTGCCTCACATAGGGACTCTCACGCTCAGGTCCTGTAATTTCTCTCCTTTCCCCACTGGGGCAAAAGTTGCCTGTTCAGGTCAGACCACAGCTTCCCTCCTTGGGGGATGGGCCTGAATGTTCAGAATGTGGTGACAACAGAGGTGACTGGACTTCTCTGACATCAGTCAGCACCTGTCTCAGGGGTACCCGGCTTGGAATTCCCCTGTCCATATAAGCCCGGGTTGTGGGGCTCAGTTCCCAGGGTAGAGGAGAACACTCTGGATCTCTTCTGGGACCGGGAACGCCCAACATAAGGCGTGTGCACACAAGCCCGACCGTGGTATGTCACCATCTATGGGAAAGGGGAGGGGGGGCGCAGCCCAACTACTAAGAGCCTTTTTTAGCCTGGCCCGCCCGGGGCGCTGACTCACACCTTCCCGGCTCTGTCCCAAAGGGGGCTCCAGGGCCCCAGCCTGTGCCAGAAGGGTGGCAGTCTTTGTGCCAGTAAAAGCTGGCCTTTTAGGCCGGAAGTGGGAGACCGCAGGCTCCTGCAAAGGACACCGCCCTGCTTCTAGATTTGCTATCCCGACTTCAGCCAAGAGTCAGGAGGATTCCGAGCCGCAGCAGTGCGTATACTGGCGTACTCCCACCATAACAGACCACCTCTGCATTCCCCACGCCATGCGCAAGAATCATGTGTGAGCTCCTGCACACCTCCGAAAGGGTGAGATGAATGAGTGAGAACAGGAGCAGGAAAAGGACTGGGGAGCAAGTACGCTGGGCGGAAGACCCCCAGAAGTGAAGACCCTCCTCAAAACCAGACCGCCCACCCCCTCCTTTCCAAGGTGGACTGGGAAGCCCCACCCCGCCCGGATCACCTGGGTAATCAAGACTGGATCCAACCATTTTATTACCTCCCTCGCCCTGAACAAGAAGCGCTGGCCTGGGAAAAGGGCAGGTTCCGGGAGGGCCGTACCACTGCCGCTGTGATGGGAGTGTGGGCCAGTCGACTGCGCAGCGGGGGAGGGGGGGAAACCAAGTGGAAGTTCCCAGGGAGATGCTAGTGCACGGCCGGCCGTCGGGCACGCCAGATTCAGGTTGAGTACAGAGCTGTCTGATGTAGGCTCAGTGCCTCCGCCTTCCAGCTGCCATCTCCTGGGCGATCTTCGCGGCCCCGGGGACCCCTAGGGCCTGTGAGAGCCGCTCCTCGCTGGGCACCAGCCAAGGCCCCGGAGAACTAGGGGAACTAGGGATACGATCGTCCAGGTCCTCTGCGTGGTGCTCCGGAGTAGGAAGCTCGGGACGGTCGACCACTGCCTCTGGACTAGGCTCCTGGCCACCCCGGGTCTTGGGCGTCCTACTGGATCGAGAGCGGTGAATTGGGGAAAGGCTGGTATTGCTAGACCTCATCTCCGGACCCCTAGGATCTGGGCTGCAATCTGGGGATGGTAGACTGTGGGTTAGATTGGGTAGTAGGGTGAGGAACAGAAATCGGGGCCCCTTGGCTGAGAGTGGCAAGGAAAGCTCAACGACTGCGGTGGAGACTCCATCCCTTAGAACCTCCCTTCAAGGCCCTGAGATGCCCTTCAGTGACTGGCACCACCTCCACAAGCCAACACCTCTTTTCTCAGGACCCTTCTCCCCCCTCAATCCAGAACATGCTCCTCAGAAATTATTTCCCACAATCCCCAAAGGCAATCAAGCCCTGACCTTGGCCTTAGGACTAGGAACTTCTCTCTCCTGTGCATGGGACGGCTGAATCTCCCCTCTCATCCCACTTCCCTTGGCTCCTCTTTGTCTTATTGACCATTTGTCTCTCAGAATCAGACTCATACCTTCCAGATCCCCATCCCATCTCCCTTCTGGAATCCATTCTGCCTTCCCCTTCCCAAGACTAAGACCCTTCCTTTATGAACACTTGATTTTACCCCACACTCCCTCCATCCTATCCTCTCCCCTACCCAAACCTCTTATCCTGGGACAGGTTCCTGGCTTTTGAAAATATCATAAACCCACCGAGACACGGACCCTTCCCACTGAGACCACCAAACCCTTTCCACCCAGGATTCCAGCCTCTCTGCTCTGTGAGCCTCTCCTTCCCCTCTCCCCCAAGAAAACCTCACTTCCCTTCAGGGGCCCTCCCAACCCCTTCAAGCTTGCCGGGTTGGGGCTCTAGAGGCCTGCGGAGCACAAGGTGGAGCCGGGGGCCTCCAGAGCGGATCCTCTCCACGACCTGGGCATGAGTGAGGCCCTGCGTTGACTCTCCATTGATATGGAGCACGTGGTCGCCGGCCTGCAAGAACGCAAGGCAGGGTGATGTTGTACGAAGGACAGCTGGACAACATTGGACAAAGGCAGGGATCATACCTATGAAGGCGTCCTAGGGCTAACCTGTAAACGACCACAGCGCTGTGCCGGCCCGTCCTTAAGCAGCCCACGCACAGCCAGTGAAGCATCCCCGGATGCACCTCGGCCCCCACTTAAGGTGAGGCCAAAGCCTTCAGGACCGCGAACCAGCTCCACAGAGAATCGACCAGAGGTTTGGGGTGGCTTTGAAGCACAACTTGCCTTACCCTGAGTCACTGGAGGTGGCGTATTACACGTACCCAGGGTCTCCGACCGACGGTGCTAGAGTAAGAACATGAGTGTACATAGCTTACCTGCCCTGAGGCTGATGGTATCATATGCAAGGATGAGGTGGTACCTGGGACCGATGTTCCACAAGAGTGCCATGAGGTAGGCGACTGTCTGTGACTTCTATATCCGCAGAGTCCAGAACACTGACAGCTAGGGTATGAAAGTCGGAGAGGACTATCAAAGGACAACACATGGAAACACCCTAGGACCAGTCCCCAGGCCTCACCTATTTACCTGGTCCCTGTAACTCACACAGACTCACCCATTATTTAACTATCTAGTAATAACTGTCCTGACTCCGCCTCCTTAACAAATAATCCTGGGCCAGCCATGGCCAACTATTTGAATAATCCTCCAGACCTTCCTACCTGCCACTAGTAACATGCAAGCCCCACCCCTCTAATAACACCAGGAGCCCCCACCCTGGAGCTTTCTATCACAGGATTTGACTCCTGAACATGCAGGCCTCGCTCTCTAATGAACCTCTAAAGCCTCAACCCATTCCTCACACTTCAAGCTCCGCCCCCAATGCATTCGGAGTTTGCACCACTGGACTGGCATCCCAGACCCGCCTCTTTGCCGAGTACCCCTCCCCACCACTCCCCAGGTTCCACCTCCTCAGAAAACACTTGAAGTCCCAGTAATCATCCAGCACAGCACCTTCAATGAATCTTCGGGCGCTCGCCTGTCGCAATAACCCTAAAGGAATACGCTGGCAAAACACAAGGGCCCCCTCCTCAAAGCATCCTCTGAACCCCGCCCTCCAGAATCACATCCCATTCCCCGCCCCCCCGACACTTTAGAACGCAGTCCCTCTTAGATCCCGCCCCCTGGAAACCCCGCCCCGTCACCTACCCTCCTTGCGCAGGCGCAAGGTGGTGCCCGCCCTTCGTACCAGCGCTGACAGGTCGGTCGCAGCTCTGGCCGCCAGGGGGCGCGCGTCCAGCCGTGCCAGGAGCTGACGGGACCTGGGGCCGGCGGATAAGGGAAGGCCGCGACCTGCGTGGGAGAGGGGGACGGGTCAGCACGGACCCTGAGCCTCAGAGAATAGGCACGATTCCAACGTTGGGAGACCTAGAAATGTCCCCTAAAAATACCCGGAGACCCTTGACCACTCCCCTCCATAGTTTCGAAGGTCACCACTCCCGAACCCCACGGGTATGCGCATGCCCCCTTGCCTTGCCCTCTTGGTCCCTGGAGGTAACCATTTGTCTGCAATAGTCCTAGACATCTCCAAAAACCTGACAAATTTCACTGGCGTTCCCGGACTGTCCCCTAGTAATTCTAAATGTCAAACTTCTCCCACCGTGTCTCCGGGGACCTAGCTTCTCCCAGACATCCCCAGAGAACCTAGCCTGCCCCCCCCTACACACCGCAGTCCTGGGACTCCCGATCCCCCTCCAGATATTCTAGGCAACCCCTACTACCCCCAGTTCCCATAAGGGGCCCGTTTCCCCACACGACCCAAGCGCTTCCAAGATTCCAGTTGCATAGTTCCCAGACGCCCCCCAGACTTCCCTCAAATCACTACAGACCCTGCGTGCACTGGCGTCCTAGGACGCCCCAGGGTACAACTCCCCAGAGACTCTAGAGCCCTTCCCCGTTTTCCCCTTCCCCCTTCGTGTGTGAGTGCGGGTAGGGGGACTGAAACTCAGCCCTAAGTCGCCGGGCCCCTGCCCCTGCTTCTGCCGCTTTGCGCAACAGAGCTGCTGTTTACCACCTGTAGGATGGAAAAGGTGAGGAGTGGACAGGGAACGCTCTTCTCCACAACCGCCCCCCCCCCGCGTCGGTACCTCCTCTGCTCCCTCTAAGGTCCGCGGTGTCCCCTGCGCGCGACTCCATGGCCAGTGGTCCGCCCGTGGATTCACCCGCAGCCCAGCGAGTTTCTAGCACAGGGGCACTTTCACCTGGCTCCTCACCCAGGCCTGGACGCGGCTGGGACCGGCCAGTCCGTGTCTGGCGTCCCGGCCAGCGCGGTGACCTACCTGGCCATAGGCGTGGAGGCTGGGCTGTGGGAAGCAGTAGGAGAGCTTGGCCTCGCTCTACCTCAGGCGCTGCTGCATCTGTCAACTGAGGATTCTGGTTACAACTAAAAAGCCTGACCATATCAACTGTTGCAGAAGATATAGAAGAAATGGAACTCAAATATACCGCTGGTAAAAATGTAAAATGGTATAGCATCTTTAGAAAAAATTTGGCAGGGTCTTAAAAAAAAAATAGCCGAGCGCCAGTGGCTTATGCCTGTAATCCTAGATATTTGGGAAGCTGAGATCCAGAAGCTCTCCAATGAGGCCAGCCCAGGCAAACAGTTAGTGAGACCCTCCCCCCTTCCCCATATCCAAAATAATCAGAGCAAAATGGAATGGAGGTGTGGCTCAAGAGGTAAAATACCTGCTTTGAGTTCAAACCCCAGTTCCACATATCAAGAAAAAAATTTATATGGGCTGGAGGTATGGCTCAAGTGGTAAAGCACATGACTAGAGAGCCCAAGCTCTGAATTCAAACCTTAGTACTGCCAAAAAAATCTCAAAATAAAAAATAGCATTTATACAGCTCTATCACTTGAGCCACTCTGCCTAACATGTGTGAGACCCTGAGTTCAATCCCCAGCACTGTAAACAAAAAATTTACATACGTGAGTATTTGTGGCACCTTTATTTCTTGTCATATTTGTTGTGGGCTGCCTAGCAAGTATGAGGCCTTGAGTTCAAACTCCAGTTCCACCAAAAAGAAAAAAAGATGTGAACAAAATATTACAGACTGAATGACTGAAACCACAGAAGTACTGTTCTGGAGACTGGAAAGTCCAAGATTAAGATGCTGGTTGAGGTGATTCCTAGTGAAGGTTTTCTTCTTGGCTTGCAGATGGCTGCTTTCTGACTGTCTCCACAGTGAGCTGAGAAACAGAGACAGCGAATGAGAGAGAGACAGAACTCTCTCTTCTTTCTCTGGTGAGGATACAGTTCTGATTAGAGCCCCACCCTCATGAGCACATTTAACCTTAATTGCTTCCTAAAGACCCTATCTCCAGAAACAGTTACATTGGGGGTTTGGGCCTTAACAAGTGAATCTAGTAGGGGAGGAGTCATTCAGTTCTCAGTCCATAGCAATTGGGATGGGTTGGTAGGGGTTTTTGTGACAGGGTTGCACTATGTATTCCAGGTTGGCATGGAACTCTCCATCTTCCTGCCTCAGCCTTCCACGTGCTGGGATTACAGGCACACACCACCATCACCACACTAAACTCAGAATATCTTATAGCTCAAAAGTGGAAACAACCCAAATGTCCATCAGCAGGTGAGTGGATCAATAAACTGGTATACTCATACAGTGGAATACAACTCAACCGTGTACAGGAATGAACCTTTGGATGGATCCCCAAATCATTATGCTATGGGCTAAGTGTATAGGTCAGTGGTAGACTGCATGCTTAGCACGCTTGAGGCCCTGAGTTCCATTCCCCAGCATGGCAAGAAGAAAAAAGAAATTCATCAAAATAACTATGCTGAGTAAAAGAAGCTAGACCCACCCCCATAAAAAGAGTTCATGCTGTATGATTCCACTTCTGTAAAAATCTAGGCTGGGTGCTGGTGGCTCACGCCTGTAATCCCAGCTACTCAGGAGGAAGAGATCAGGAGGATCATGGTTCAAAACCAGCCCAGGCAAATAGTTCTCAATAACCTATCTCAAAAATACCCACCACAAAAAGGGCCGGTGGAGTGGCTCAAGGTGAAGGCCCTGAGTTCAAGCCCCAGTACTGAAAAAAAAATAGTAAAAACAAACTGATGTACAATGACAGAAATGGATGGGTGTTTGCCTGGAGAGGGGCCAGAGGTCAGGACAAAGAATTAAAAAAGGCAAAAGAAAACTCTTGGCAGGATCCTAATTGTAACGATATTTTCACAGATATAAACATACTGTATTCAAAACATCAAATTAAGCTGGGTGTGGTGATGCACTTCTGTAAATCCCAGCATTCAGGAAACTAAGGCAGGAGGATCACAAGTTCCAGGCCAGCCTGAGGTACAGAACAAGACCTTGTCTGAAAACAACAACAAAAAATCTAGAAATGATATGTCAATTATACCTCAGTCCATTAAAAAAAATAGAGCCAGTCGTGGTAATACATGCCTGTAATCCTAGTAATTCAGGAGGCCAAGGCAAGAGGATCAAGAGTTTGAGGTCAGCCCAAGCAAAAGTTCTCATGACCCCATTCCCAAAAATTACCAGAGCAAAATAGACTGGGGGGTGTGGCTCAAGTGGTAGAGCGCCTATTTTGCAAGCTCCAAGCACCGAGTTCAAACCCCAGTCCCACTGGTGCTATGACTCAGATACCAGTTGCATCATGACGTGACTGTTTCCTCAAGAAGTAAGAAATGTTCTCCCTGCCTCTCTCCAAGTTAAGGACATGGCTATTCTGACCGTACTGCCTCTGCCTTCCCACCTGGTTACTAAGTGCCAGCTACTTCCTGTTCCTACTGGGTGCTCACTCAGATCTCTAGCCTACTTTTCCAGAGTTTCAGGTTTTATTTTCCCTTCCTCTCTCTGGGACAGGGCTTCCTTTTAGAAAACCACTTGAGAGAAGCTTATTCCAAGTATGGTTTTTCTACCATTATGAAGGTACTTCCTTGTTGTTAGGGTACTTCCCATTCTTTTGTGCTATCCAGAATGGCACAGGCCATAAGAAATAGGTAAAGCAGGACTATTCCTTGGGACAGATCAAGAGCCCAATGGAGCTGACAAGGCTACAGGCCACATGAAAGTGCCAGAATCTAGGGATTTGGAGGCCAGGTGGCAAGAAAATGGCACTTGGATACTTTACTTTGTCTTTTCCTAATCTATGCTCCAAATGAAAAAAACTGGGATTCCTTTGACCTCAAACACTGGCTACTCAATTTAAAATAAAAGTGCTGGAAAGAAAAGAGGTGCCCATGGGAGGAAATTAGACAGGCGCCCTATACTAATTTCCTGCTCTCTAGAAGGACGCTTTGAAAGTGACCACACAGGTTTACCTGGCTCCATGGGATGGAGGATGCTTCTCCTCCAGACTCAGGGGTTCAACCTAGGCTCAAGACTTTGACCTAAGCACAAGGCTGTCACTCCAGGAAGGGACGCCCTGCCTGGATGACAATTGGGTCTCATTTCTTCCAGATTCGAAACATGTTATCTATTCCTGCAGAAATGTGTAGCCTGCACTATCTTGGTACGCCCTAGGGAGGATTGTAATCTGCCTAAACAATCTAAGAGTACACTAAAATTAATATAAATACATAAATGTGTACATTAGTCTATCAAGCATAAGGCAAAAACTTCTTTTGCCTCTAGAATTCCAGAAACTAACCAATATACTTGTGGCTACTTAGTTAATTTTGCATGTTCTTGAGTTCTTAAACCTATGCATGCTTATACAGCTAATGTAAAGGAATTGCTGCTTCTTTTCTCTTTCCCTCCCCCACCTCTTCTGCTACTTTTTTTTTTTTAGAAAAACCAGTTTTTCAAGTATTTATGTCAACCAGGCCTAAAATACAGTCATTGTTTTATGCACTGTAACCTTGATCTGTTTCATCCTGTCATAAGTGTAAAAGTGTAATTTACATTAAACTGTTTTATAATTGGATCTATTAACAAAGTGTGTTTTAAAGTGTTTTGTCATCTACAGTTTGGATCCTTCTCTAAGACATTTATAATTAAGCTCCCAGAAAACGTCTTTAGCAAGTATCTATTTCTCAAGCGGTTGTCTATTTAAGTATTTGCTATTATTGGTTTTGTTTTGTATTTTCCTCGAAAAACTTTAACTGTTCTGTTGACTTAAAAATGGGTGCCTCATAAGCCCACCCTAAGGGCCACTTCTTCTCAACCTCTCAGTTTGCTTAAATTGGCCACAAAAAAAGGGTTTTTCACCGACTCTCAGCTTAATTGACACTTGTCCCCCAATGTGGGATCACAGGTCACACAGACTATTTGGAGGACACCACCAACGAGGGACAATTAAAGCCAGGCCAGAGTGATTGGTCAATAGATATCTTCAAGAGGAAATTGTTAAGAAACAAGGGGAAAGTTGTCAGAATCAAGCAATGCTGGGCATGGTGGCGCATGCCTGTAATCCCAGTGATTGGGAGACTAAAACAGGATGGTCCTGAGTTAAGGCTAGCCTCGTCTACAAAGTGAGTTCTAGGCCAATCTAAACTATATGAGACCCTATATCTCAAATAACAGCAAAATGGAGTCACTCCTGCCAGCCCTTCCAAAGTAAAGCCAAGAGGTTAAAAAGAATGAGTCCTTACATGTGGGTATTTTAAATAGGCAATTTAATTAGAGGATATAATCTAGCACATGATGACCATGACTAAATATACCCAAAAAGCATTAAATGACACAGCATACGGTATAGCTCTTCTCAAGTATGAGATTAAAATGATGCGACAAGCCATTTGTGTATTAACTAAGACAAAATGCTGTGTGTATAATCCAGACAACTCAACAATTGTATCAGCGGTCCTCAAGGATCTCCACACCCAAATAGACACTATGCTTGATCCTAAAATAAACTTTGGAGGCCTACTTTCCTCTTGGGTTACAGGATTCACCTGGTGGAAAAGGCATTCATGTTTGTCGTCGTCATCATCATAACAGGCACCTTGCTCTGTTGCTGCCTGTACTGTTGTGCTAACCTCAGCTCTGTTTGTGTCTTCACAGTCTACGACTGCATCCCAATGGGCAATTCTCCCTGCTTACTATGCCCTGCAACTGCAGCTCCCACTATCATGGGCCGCTGGACAGACCAAAATATTAAAAGGCTACCTGTCTTCCTCGATGGCAAGGACCAGAGACTCCTGACTTAT